CAACAGGATGTAATGAACGGACAACATGGACGCGCGAAACACACCGCAAGAAGGCTGACTCCACACGAAAGATATATTTTTTGTAAACAAACGGGATTATCAGTGAAACGGTGGAGGAAAGAGAAGCACAGAATTAACCACAAACAGTGACTGACTTCACATAAAGTGAGGCTAGTTGGGACAGAGGTAGACAAAAGCACAGAAATTGAACACAAAACGATACCCACCTGAGGTACCACAGCAATTGCACGTCGAAGGCTGTCCAAATTGACCGAGCGCACATCTTGGCCCCCGATCAGTACACGACCACTTTGTGCATCGAAAAATCGGTAAGCCAAACGAACAATTGTGGACTTGCCGGCACCGCTTCCACCGACCACGGCCACACGTTTGCCTGGTTCAACCTAGGAACGAAAAATACAGAGACGTGAGTCAAAGCATTTGTGTAAGAGAGTGGGAGATAAGTGCCACGACTAGTGTTACGAAAATCAAGAGAATCGCATGTCAAACGCGATCTCTTATTTATAGTCCCGATCAAGCAACCAACCAAACAATTCCATACAACCTGGCTTCAACTCACGGTCAAATAGTTATTTTATGTTCGCACAGAGTCTCTTCCAAAGAGTGTACACACACACACACAGTATCCCTGAAACATCATAATTCTTTCCGAAAGACTACACAGAGTAATACAGAGAAAACAACACAAGTCACAGGTTCTTTGACCACATTGATAAAAGACTGTTAGTCTGATGTGGCACTGATACGAGTAGAACGAGGCAAGATTCGAACACACAGTGGAGTTACTGGGACCTTAATCAGACTGCGGTTAAGATGAGTAGGAAACACCATAAACAGTGCAAAAACCACGCACGATAGTCACGAGGACTTGCTGTTCACTCATGTTACCCGACAAGACCTGAAGTGGCGAATCACATACGGCACCAATAGGCATAGCATTGAACTGAACAAAGGCAAAGCTGTCTACCACAATTCACATTGAGTCCTTTTTGTATTACACACCAGTGTGTGATGAACAGCAAACGGGGCGAACCCCATAGTCACGAAGACCTGCTGTTCAGTGGTGGAAACCGGCAACCTAAGCCCGGCAACTTGTCGAACCACATAATGCCCCGATAGGTTAGGCATGGTATTGAATCGAACGACAGCAGAGCTGTCTAACACCAAAGTTGGGTGGCGGTGGAGAGGCTTGAACCTCGGACCATAGGGTCCAAAGCACGCCGGTGACAGCGACCAAACCACTGTGCTATCACCAAGATTCACGTAGATTGGATAGAGGTTCGCATATCTCCATCGACCCAACCACACATTTTTCTACATGCACTCACACACAGTACTACCACGATATCGCTTTAGGCTTCCATTGGGATGTCACAAATCTGTCAAACCAATCGTTAGTGTTATGGTTAGGTATCAAAAAGGTAATCGTCACTGATAGATTTACTCTCATGCACTTTATTTTTCACAATCCACATCGTTTTTCGCGTAAAACTCAAGGTGATTTTAATTTAGTGATAAGAGGTTACCAAAACAGAGTGCTGCTAGATCACGAAATGGTTAAAGTCACGATTGTGCATAAGGAATTTGAGATCAGGGCTCCTCGGGTTTTCTTATCCGCGTTCCTTTTTAGACAAAACACTACAATATGGGATATAGATAAACTTGAAATCTTCTAGGGAGAACCATCTGCGAGCTACATATGAGAATGTGTGTTTTATTCGCAACTTGGGTCCTAGAAAACCCTACTCGAACTACACACTGATTCGTCCATTAGCACTCTCCATTTTGTTGTGTCTCACTCAACAGATGGCGACAGCTAAAGTTGCCTACGATTAGAGGAACCAGAATCTAGGTTGGACGGTTGAACCCCACCTTCACTACCATCCAACTTTGCTGTTGTCCGGCTCCGTTTAATTCCTAACTTATTGAAGGTTTTAGTGAATTGGACATTGGTTTCAATGACTGTACAACTGATACTTGTGACTATAGGGTTTATCTCTTCTAAAGCTCCTCAAACTGAAATATAAAGTAAAAAGTAAATTGGAGGATACCTTTATTTGGAATGTAAGCACATATGGTTGGCATTACGCGGTGCGGTGTGTACAAGACATTTGCGCTGTAAATCATTGAGCGACACCAAGCTTTGCTATCGGGACTAAGTCATGTACCCTTACTGATTCACACACGCGCACACACACACACACACAGAGAGAGAGACAGACAGACACAGGATCTGAGAACTACAGGAAGTAAGTGATCTCTTTTCCAACATATCACAATGCACGTTAGGTATCAACTGACTAGGTGGATAATAGAACTATTTATCTCCACAGTTTTATAAAAACGATCGTTTGATCACGTGATCGTAAGGCATTTGAGAATATAATTGGAGAAACAAGCCCGGATAAAATCACACCGAATAGCCCCACGGTCCAATACGAAACGCGTGGTGTCACACAACGTGGCATTCTATCATGACAAAATCCTTTGAACTACATTCCGGTGGTGTAGCATGCTATAGTCGAGAGCGAGGGCATCCAAAAGCGGAACTAAAAAAACAACGAAACGAACTGGAACCGCGATTATAAAACTGGGGAGAAAACGAAATAATTGAGCACTGAGGTACTTTTCAGCGCTCTGATCATATAGGGTATCTGTGGCTTGTCAATACGATAAAGGAAGCCTATAACAACACGACCAAAACGATATGTTGCAATTTTAGGGAATATAATTGCAAGCACTGTCTCCGGTACCGTTAGGACTTTTAATTTGAGGTTACACATCTAGTCTTTGTACATCCCAGCGCTGCCTGAAAAGAGAAATGGGCTTATCCTGGGCAACCCGGTGACCGATAGTTTGGTTCATTCACTTCTTCTGAAAAACTGCTGCGTATACAAACACGATGGCCTGATTATTGGTGAGCCGTATTTCTCATGTACTGTCCTTGGGAAAACGCTTGACAAACAGAAACTTACCAAATCCTCGAACTCGTAACTGCTCGTCAGCGACGGCCTTCTCCGTGAGTTTGTGTTTGCCTTATTCACAGAGAAGCATTAATTTGGTTTCAGTTTGAACAATCATTAACCGTGCACTTTTGTGCAGCGGTTTCGGGTGCTCTCTGGGCTGCCCCATTTGGTGTTCGGTCCCCTATCCATGAACCTGGACACTCGCAAGGAAGGATGCAATCCTACCCCAACCGAGCGGGTGTCCCACTAGACTCGCTCAATACCACGCAAATAACGGGTTGTATACACCTAAATTCTGTATTTCCCAAACCCTAACCCCGCAATTTTCCTACTCTCAAATGCAGAGACCTTCCTGACCCCAATAATTACTGACCAATTTCCCTCGCAGCTATCCTTTCGAATGTAACAGTCATCTCCCACCAACTAAGGATGTTCCTCGAACGTGAAGGACTAGAGAGCGACCACCAGTATGGCTTTCTGCAGCGTCGTTNNTCGGCTACACTCGATAACCACGAGGAAATACACTTGGTCTCGCTTGACATCTCAAAGACCATTGATCGAGTGTGGCACAAGGGCCTTATAGCCCTTATAGCCTTATGCCCATGTTCGAGTTTCCTGTGGCTCTCGCATCGTGGATATCAAGTTTCGTCAGTAAGCGAACCATCTCCGACTGGTTTGATGGAATTCTATCTCAGCCGGTCCCCAAGGCTCAGCACCTGTTCCAACCCTCTTTCTTCTATTGCTCAATAACCTCCTTCCCAAAATTGCCAATCTAAC